GTTCTCTGACTTGCAGCCGCAACAAGTCCGCAGTCTCGAGTCTTCCCACTCCAAATGCGACCTTCCCAGTTCCTTATAAAATCTTTCAGTTAGGTCGTGGTAGGAGACCAAGCGGCCTACTTTGTTCGCGAAGATACCAGTCGACGATCATAATCAACTGTCTCCCGTTGGTGGGCCGAGATACATTCTGAGCCCATGCCAGTGACGGTCTTCTGCCGTCTCCAAATTCTATATATTCGAATGTGATTGCGAGGTGTGGTAGATTCCCCCTATTATTCTTTCCATGTGTCTCGGTGACAGATAGCTGGTGCCATTAGACTTTAGCGAGCGACCACGTCTTTCTGTCAAATAAATTGCTATCAGGACGGTAGAATGGAAGAGGTGAGCAGGAACACCTCTCTTGGTGCTAAAAAGAATGTCCTTAATGAAATAGAATGTGCGACAAACTTTTCAACTGGGTCATTGGGCATGTTGATCTAATGGCCAATGTATATGTAACTATAAACAAATCTTTTCGCCGTTTAATCTTAGATGGCTTTTTGGCAGGGAAGCGTATCACTATTTTCTTCTGACTCTGATTCGCAGTTCGGCTTCCACACATTTTCCAGAGAGTTTATGTACCTGATGCGTTTTCCGCAAACAGTATCCAGTTATTTTTGAACCTTAGACGGTGCAGCTGTTCACTGACGAGGTTCATGCCACAGCTTCAATTCATCCTCCAGAATACCATTTCCAAACTGACAGTGAAGAGTTTTGGGGAGATTATGTTTTCTTATTTTGCACCCTTCTGCACAGGAATACGAAAGGTATGTTAAACACCTTCATGTTTCTGAAGCAGGCAGAGGTCGTTTGTTGGGCAGTTTGATGTAACGGGTGCCGATACCCCGTTCTGCAAGTTCAGTCCGAACTACCTTGAACTTAACTGCATCTATATTTTCCGGTAGTCGAAAAGGGCAATGCGATGAAGCTAGAATTGATCCGCGCGCTCGAGGATTTAACGTAAAGACGTTAGTCACTGTGCCAGAGTTGCTTCACAATCCTGAGGGTTCAGTTTATAGTTAAAATAAATTAAAACGAATCGAGAAATGCGCGTATAGTGTCCAATCCAGTGCAAGAGTGCTACAATCTTACATCTTACGGTGGTAAACAACTAGCAGCAAGGGCCTAGCTTAACGTAACTGTCCATCGTTAGGACGGTGAGCTTTATTTCAATCGAGTTCGCGACTTAACTTAAAAGTCCAATTGTATTAGATATAGTCAGTAGCAAATATACAATATACGATGGAGCGCATGTTAAAATGATAGCGCAGCAAGGTCATTAATGGATCGCTGATAGGGTAGCGACGATTTTAACGTGAAACTAAGCATATAAGGCAGTTCGCGTCTTAATGTTAATGATTTGTTTCTCTCCCAGCTTCCAATATTTCCCGTTTTCTTCAGTTTAATTCTTTACGAATTATTTTCGCTGGATTAGCGCTGAATGTCGTGGTTCTTTGCGACAAGAAAAATTCTGACAGCTGTTACTTATTAAATTAAATTGTTGAAGGCAGTCACATAGTAGGTAAGTATTTTGTTGTGCATTTTTTGAGCTGGTGACTTTAAACCTAAATGAGCGAAGGAAATCCGTTCTTATTAATTACTTATTCGTTTGAAGAGTGAACATGATTTCGATGCATTCATCTGAGAAACGTACAGCTGTTCAACTATCGCCGAACCTCTACACTGTGTGCATCTTTTGGCTGAAATTTTCCTTGTTTCTATGCGATTGTGAACTATGCATTTAGCACAACGCGGGTAAAGATTGCTTAGTTGAATTCAGTGTTTCGGCGATACTGTATTTTACAACATAAGTACACCTTGACGATCCATTCAATTTTTGTAGTAAACGTGCCTGATGAATGGTAAGCACCGATCTTTCTTTTGAGATTCACTTGCGAAGTGATCTGATTGGATTTCTCGGTTGATTAGAGGGAATTGATGAAAAAAAACGCTGATTCAAAAATGGTGCAAGATCTGTACTTACTTTTGTTTTAGTTTTTTCTTTATTTTCCATAAACATGGTTCCTCCGAGGCAGTTAAAATATTGTTGGAGTCATTCTGTATGCATGCTTTTTTTCAGTTGTGCTTTGCATTCGATTTTTAACATATTTTCATTGTCGGAAAAATAAATAACTAAAAAATGAGATACTTTATTTTTAAAGTGTACTGCCGTAAATGATCTTCGTTGTGCTGATTATTTGACTCACTTAAAAGTCACTTAAACTTTGAAATTAGTCACTCTGTAACCGTTATATTAGAAAAACGACTGGTTGGTATAGGCGAATCGAAGCTGTATAGCGCACGCCTCAGACATGATCGTACATCTGGCACGTACCGGAATGATCACCCAAGACACGATGCTGTCCATGTTCAGAGATTGACGATCGCTTGCGCTGTTATAAAGAGATTAATTCATGCACAGCAGACGTTATAATAATAAGTTGCTGTGGTGTACTGTCCCTGGAACTCTAAAAGTAAGGAACGATGCGATTAAAGCCATGCGATCCCCAGAAGCTAAAGGAATATGTTATGCTGACTGGTGATATCAAAAGATAGCGTTTGCTTGTAATCAAAAAATGTGATCGGTATTTGTGTTAATGCTTCTGTTATGTAATTAATGTTACTGTCCCACTTAAGATACACTCCCAGCCTTTGAATTTTTATTAAATGATTTCGCACATTTTATGTCAGCCATTATTTGTAGAATTTGATCCGTAGTGTTTGCGGATAGAATACGAAAAAAAGTGTAAATCAAATTATTTTTTTTCTTGCCACAAACGATGGAATAAAAAGTCTGTAAACATGTAAGTTATATTCTTATTTGTAAAAGGTCTTCTTAAATCAAATTTTCATACCGCATTTCT